TCCAGTGTGGTTCCTCCATCCAGTACGAGAGGAAAATGCTGGATAACGTCCTTGAAGGACACCTGCACATCAGATTGGGACACAGGGAAAGTCACAGAAACATTTTCCAGGGAAAGTGGTTCCCTTTCTTCAAGTTCCCTTGTTCTTCAAGCCAAGAGCATTGGCAGGGTTGGGAAGGGGGTGTCAGGCTGTGTGAAAATCATGGAACCATGGAATTGCTGAGGTTGGAAAATCCTCCATGACCATCGAATCCAATCATCCTCATCACTGCCAAGGCCACCCCATGTCCCCAAGTGCCACATCCACAGGGTTTTAAATCCCTCCAGGAATGGGGGCTCCATCCCATTCCTGGACATCCTGTTCCATTTATTCCCTCCTGAGCAACTTCTCCCATTCCCAGATCCCTCCTTCTTTCCCACAGCACATTTTTAATTCTAATTAATTTTAATTTGACTCTGCCTGTGTGACTTTTACCTTCTGGGCAGTGGAAACCTCATCCTTGGAGTTTATTTTTCCAAGGGGCGGGATTCCCTGTCAGCTGAAATAGAAAATAATGGCCGTGCTCAACAGCAGCACAAAAGCTCTTCCCGAACAAAAAGCACTCCAGGGAAATCCCTTTTAAGGCCAGGATTGTGTGGATTATCCCTTTAAAAACTGTGTGTGAACTCTGGGCGTGGCTGCTAAAAAAAAAAAAAAAAAAAGGAATAAAAGTAGGAGGAAGCTCAGATTGAGAAATTAATGAACTTTTGTTGCTTTTTTTAATTAAATAAAAATCCTAGGATTTTGTTCTCTACACCTGCCTTCCTTCTGCTTTTCTGTTCTTTATCCCAAAGGGGTTTTTTTAGGAATTTCTCTTGGGGTTTAGGGGAATAAAGGATAAAATGAAATAAAATTAAGGCTGGTTGGACTTCAGCACCTGTGGAATGTCCCCAGATTCCATCAATTGGAATGAGCTGCTGAGCACCAGAGCATGGGAAAGGCTCTGGAATTTTATCCCTGAGGTGGATTTGGGGTAATGTTGGTTTTTCATGGAATTGGCAAAAGGGGCTCTTTTTTCCTTTTCTTTTTTTTTTTTTTTTCCTTTCTTTCTTTGTATTCTGGAAAAAACTCCCAGCAAGTTGGAGAATGGAATAAATTTAAGGATGGGGGTCTGGCACTTGTGGAATCATCTGGTGTTGGTTGCTTGGGAATTCTAATATCCTAAAATGTTGGATTTTCCATGAAAATGGCACAAGGAGATTTTCCACATCCTTCTTTTCCTCTCTGGGAAAAGCTCCCAGGAAGCAAAATGAAATAAATTTCAGGATGTGTGGAATAAATGGAATAAATTTCTGGCATGTATGGTCACTGCCTGAGGATGGCTGGGAATTCTAAAATCCTAAAATGTTGGTTTTTCCATGGAATTGGCAGAATGGGCTTTTTTTCCTTTTTTCCGTCCTATTTTTTTTTCTTTGTATTCTGGGAAAAGCTCCCAGCAAGTTCGAGAATGGAATAAATTTAGGAATTTTGGGTTTGGCACATGTGGTGGCTGCCTGGAATCACTGGGGCTAGTTTGGAAAGCTAAAATCCTAAAATCTTGGTTTTTCCATGAAACTGGAGAAGGAGGGGTTTTCTTTTCCATCCATTTTTTTTTTTTTTCTCTCTGTATCCTGAGAAAAAGGGATGTGGGAGAATGGAATCAATTTTGGGATGTGGGTCCATGGTGGCCTTGGCAGTGCTGGGATCACACCTTGGCTCGATGATCTCTGAGGGCTTTTCCAGCTTTAAAAATTCTGATTTTCCATCTGATTTCCTGGCTGGAGAATTCCAAAGGCCTTGGTGAATATCCACAGACATCTCCTCCATGGAGAAATGCCCTCTGTGATAGGATTGCAAAAGGTTTTAACCAAGCAAACCTGATCTCCTCATCCCGAATGTTCCTACAGCCATAAATTCCCAGTGCTCCCTAAAAGTTTACAGCTCTGGGAATGAATGTGGGGCAAAGTGGAGCTTTGGAGTTGAATAAATCCATTTAATTTTATTTTCTGCCACAGGCTCAGGCCTGTCAGCTCTTCCCAGACCGGAGGCTCATGGATGAGTTCATAAAAGGCTCTCCTATAAAAATGGAGATGGTTTATTGATCCTCCTGCCCTTTCATTAGGACTTCTGGGAATTTTTGTGAGCAGGAATTGGATTTGGAAGGGAATTTGCTGCTCTGGAGGAGATCATGAGGAGCCTGTTGGGCACCACGTGTCTGGAAGGATTTATCAGGAGGGATTTTGGGAGGTGGGATTCACCTGATCCCTCTCCTTGTGGCCAGGTGGAAATTTTTTTTTTTTCCCCATTTTGTCCTGGGGGGTGCTGGGGACAGTGACTGGACATGAGCCCAGGTGTGGCCAGGTGGGAAAGAATCCAAAGGCACCGGGATTGGATCAGGGATTGTGTGGGAGCAGGAACAGGGATGGGATTGTCCTGATTGTCCCCTGTGCTGGAACTGCTGGAGCACCTCGAGAGCTGTGCCCAGTTCTGGATCCCTCAATTCTGGAAGGGGCTGAAGGGGCTGGAGAGTGTCCAGGGAAAAGAATGGAGCTGGGAAAGGAATGGAGAATTCCTGAGGGAGCTGGGAAAGGAATGGAGAATTCCTGAGGGAGCTGGGAAGGGAATGGAGAATTCCTGAGGGAGCTGGGAAGGGGCTCAGCCTGGAGAAAAGGAGGCTCAGGGGGGCCCTTGTGGCTCTGCACAACTCCCTGCCAGGAGGGGACAGCCGGGGGGATTTGGGATCTGCTCGCAGGGAACAGGGACAGGAGGAGAGGGAACGGCCTCAGGCTGGGCCAGGGCAGGCTCAGGGTGGAGAGCAGCAGGAATTTCCCCATGGAAAGGGTGGGCAGGGATTGGAAGTGCCCAGGGAGGTTTGGAGTGCCCATCCCTGGAGGTGTCCCAGCAATTCCTGGGGGTGGCACTCAGAGCTCTGGGATGGGCACAGGGTGGGAATTGGGCACAGGTTGGATTTGGTGACCTTGGAGCTCTTTTCCATCCTCACTGATCCCAGGATTCCATGGATAAAGTTTATTCTCACTCTTGATTGGCAGAAGTTATTAATTACTAAAGCTGATAATTGTTTTGGCAGGGTTTGTGCTGTACTTTAACATTTTTATAGATCCTGGCTGATAACACATGACAAGCTCTGGGTACTTTAACCAACATTTTCTTTTTGGCAGAGATAAAGTTGATTTTTTCCAAGTTTTTTCTCCTCTTGGAGGAGGAGGACCCCAAGAGGAGAAGGATGAGTTCACAGTGATTCCTTCTGATGTTTTGCTGCCCCTGAAATGTGTTTTAAGACATTTTTCCTGCTGCATCAAGCAACTGAGACTGGGATTTTTAGGAGTCTGCCCAATCTGATAAATAATTATGGGAATTTTGATAGGATCCCGATGTTGTTTGGAGTTATTTAAGAGTGGGAGAAAAAGTGTGGCAGGGAAATGCATCCCATATTGGAAGAATCCAGGCTCTAAGGAAATCCTGAGCTCCAACAAAGCTTCTGAGCCACCCCAAAAGCAGGAATTGGGATAATCCAGTGTGGAAATCTTGGGAATGGGGGAGTTTCATGTGCAAAGAAATGAGGGAAGATTTCCAATGGATCACTTTGGGGCAGGAAAACTCAGCAAGGCTTTTTTTTTTTTTTTTTTTTTTTTCCTCGGGACAGCTTTGGCACAAGAATTAAACTTTGTAAAGGATCTGGAAAACATCCAGCTGCAACATTCCAAAGATTTAAAATTTGTTTGGCAAGGGCAGAGCCCACTGGGGGTTGTGGCAGCTTTTCTGAAGGGTTTTATTTATATCCCAATCC